ACAGAAGTACTCTCTTCCACCTCATAGCAACAACTCTTTGCAGAACCTTTTGTAACTCATGATCATTATAATTTATGTCTCATAATTTCTTCATCTAAGTTTCGACTTTAATTTAATGAAAAAATGAAGAATCTAAAAGACATGTACTTTCATATAGTGATGCAGGCAAGATCGTCCTGTCAGTGGCTCAGGAACAATGTAATGGTTTCCCAATTTGTACCTTGATTTTATACTCACAAAGTATAAATTTGTCTCTTTGTGTCCATTTCATATGCTAAAATAAACTGATTGTATGCATGTACTTAACCGGTTTCTCATAATTAGCAGTGTTGTGCTTGTGATTAATCACACAAAGAAATTGATAAAATTATTCAATTTCACATAATAATACACCTAATTTCTTTTGATCATAATTCAGATCTCAATTTGATTACAGTAATTTGTCTCTTAATAAAAATACTTTAGGCAAATGAAAATGATCAGCACCAAATGGGAACCCAGTGCGAACAAACTTGGTTCCTCTGGTCCAAGACAAAGTCAGTGACATCACTTACCATTGCAAGTTGTTGTTGCTTCTTGTTAAAAAGCAGCCAAGAAGCAAGGCTAATCACTTTGATGCTGCTAAGAAAATTTGTTGGTATCTGCCAACTGATTTACTGGTTTAACCGAACAAATGAAACTTTATTAAGAGTATTTGCAACAGTCCTGGGGCACCATGCTGCCCCTGACAGGTCAGTGGCAGAAACTGAATGATGCTCAAATTGTAAAACCCAAATTTTGACTTGATCAAATTTTCACCCATAGATCTAAAAGCAAATGCAGGATTATTTTTACTTTTACTTTGTGTGTAAAACAGTAGCCTGTGTGTTAGCGGTGTAAGTAGTGATGGGCAAATGAGGCCTCATAAAGCAATGAAGCTTTCCAACCCTTTGCTTTGCGAAAAGGTTCATCACTCGATGCTTCATTCATCACTCACTAGTGACATCGGCTGGTGAAACTGTAACAGCTTTGTCACTCAGTTGGATCACACTTCCACAAATTTGCAAATGCAATATTGTCATAAAGTTTTCATCAAACTCATGTTTAGTAACAGGAGAATCAATTAAATCAGATTTAATTGTTATATGTTTTAATTATCAAAATGATTTGGAGCCAATCTAATCCTAGTATATGTTTAATGTCAGTGGTTGTGTTGGATTTCCTTTTATGCCATATTCTGATTTGACAATAAAGACATTTCATGTTTTACTGCATTGGGAGTGCAGTACTTGTTGTGGTTTTTGTTTTTTCTTGGATTTCTAATTGGCTCTGATCCCTTGTATTTAGCTACTTGCAGAATTTTAGTCTTGCAACAGCATTAAATCTGTTTCTGCTCTTCAAGACTGATATTTCCTGTAGATTTGTAGACTGATTATTCTACACATAATAGTGGAAATTTCCAGAAGGTGAGAAATTGGAAGGCGGAGGGGTTAATTATTTTTATTTAAGAATAATTTTATTGTGAGCAATCATCTCAAAGTATTCCCAGATGTCCAAAATTTTCCTCTAGCTGGCTCCATTTCAGACAATCAATCGAGTTTATTTGTGTGGCTGATTTCAGCAATAATATAGTTCAAAGAGCTTCATATCATAAAATGACAAAAAATACAACGTCACATAAAAACACCATAAACGACAATTGAGAAAACCAGTAACAAACATTACATTGTGAAGAGTGCCATCATCAATACACATTAAATATGTTGGTCAATGTTCCTTTTACTTTGGCCAGTGAAATATTTTAACTCGATACACGCCTCAAAGCCTAGGTTCAGATAGCCCATCTCTAGATGTAAATGTTCTGACATTTGATCATCAGTATGAACCTTTAGTACCACATAATTGCAGTATTGTTTCAACCCTTTACACATGCACAGTATTTACATGCAGAACTCTCTGGTCACTTTTAAAGGCGAATCTAAACTCGTAGACACACATTAAGTTAAAGCATGACGTTTGGGAACATCAAGGTTTCTCCACTGACAACAGTGAAAGACATTTCAGCAATGACAGCGAACATTGCTGAAATGTCTGTGTTGACCACATGTCCACAAATCACAACACGGACCTAGTGCATTACGTCTATCATGGGCAAACGTTTGTGATTTGGTAGAATTTAAAACTTCAATAGAGTCCACACATCCAGGAAGCAATCGTTTCTCAAAAGCCAAGAGTTCACAACCCTCTGTCTGAAACAAATACAAAGAGCTGGTTTATACCATGCTCCTGTACACAAGGACATGTGCAATCATGTTTATCTGTATACTGCAAGTTTGCTTCCCCTGAGATGCTGCTAAAGAGGCAGATTTGCAGCTTCAACATTCTCCCAGAGCACCTGCAATTAATGGTGACAATTTAAATTTTGATGTGCTGGGCTTTGCCCAAGCAGTCAGCGCTAGACAAGTTGGGGAAGTCACCTATCTAACAGATGCCACATGATATTAATGTAAAAAAGGTTTGGTGCCTCTAACCTGGCAGCCACATGAAATCAATCACCTCCTCGGCATTGCTTTCTTCTGACAAATATACTCTCAGAGGCCAGGTAGCAGAGCTAATGGCCTCCAAAGTATTTCTGTCAAAGACACAGCTCCTATTAATTATTCAGTCACCTGTGCTGTGGTGCAACCTTACAATATTTACAATGCTGCAAGAGGCCGCTATCCCACCAGCTTGGAGTCCCTGTGGTGGTGAGCTGCTTTAGCATGAGCTATAATTCCATCTGCTCCCCTTTTACTGAGACAGCAAAAGAGAAAAGCTGCTTTCATCCCTTATCAAGAAACATGCTGGTCTCTTGAGGAGACTGAGCGTAAACATGACTGACGGCTGATGAAGGAGCTGCACTGTTTTTTTCAGACATTAATGAGCCGGGTAGTGTTTTATCATCATGCTGAAGTGGAGGCAGAAAGTCTGATTTCAACGGTCATAAAGTATGTGTCTCTTTAATTCAAGATATGAAAGCTTACTAAATATAGATGGCAATTTTGTGTACATAATGATGCATCACTAATGTGGCAGGCAAGCCACAATATTATGACAGTTTTCAATTTGGAACTGTATAAAAGATGCCGTCCTGGGAGAATGCCTGCATGCAATGCTTTACAAAGTAAACAATGGTTGTAAATCCAGCTGTTGCCTGAGAACTGCTGGTCACCATGCTCTCACAGAGTTAAATCCCCCTTTTTCTGCCTACAGATGGGGAATAAATGGGTTGGGTCAGTGGTAGGAAAGGAGTAACGGAAGGAGGGATTAGAGATGCATTCAGGTGCAAGTGGGAAAGTAGAAGAAACAAGAATTATTATTTTGATTTTTTTTTAAAGAGGAAATTCAGATAAGTTAGCTGTTAAATGCTCATCCAACAAACAAGTCACAATGTTTTTTTGTTTGTTTGTTTGTTTGTTTTGGACCTACGAATGGAATACAGGTTTTGTAAATGAAAGTCTGTGTTTAATTTAATCAGTCTGACATGAATTATTCCTGGTTCAAATTGTACATGTATTGCAGTTTGTTTGCTTGTCTAATTCTAACCCTCCTTCTGCGTATTGCTTCGTACAGAGTGGCTATTCCTTCATCTGAATATCCTACCGGTTTAAAATGAAAAGCTGTAGATGTGCGCACTACATTACTAGAATATCCTATGAGACAGAGGAAACACATTTTTATTGATTAAATTAATCACAGATCACCGCAACTCTTTTATGCGCATGAATACATTGTATGACGGACTTTATCAAATGCAACCACAATGTGTCCACCAGGAACACAATGTCCATCATTGTGTTCATTGAGTCAGGTAGCCAATCAGAAAGCGCGGTGACGTAAGCACGGAGAGGAATCCCAAACAGCTGACAAGGCGAAACTGAGAGTCCGGTGAACATCGGAGGTGATATGTGGAAATGTTTATTACTATATGGATAGGTCATATTTTTCTATATGATTATTAAATTCACTGTCATGTTGGGGTTTTTTACTGGTTTTACTAGATTTTCTAGAATCAGAATGTTCGTGAGTGGAATCGGTTCGTGGTGTGTCGGCCGGACACACGAACCGATCGAACCTGTTGGACTTTCATAGGCTTGGTTCGAGTGTGGTCACAGAGGTTTGGGAAATCGGGCGGCAATCCTCAAACCGTGCCGTGTGAACCAGACCTAATAGTCACAAGCTCCTCTCCTCCGCCTCATCTCGACCTCTGCCCTAACGGTCTGACTCTGGTCGCTGTGGTAACGTGTGCATATCCCTTCAAAATAAGATACAGATGCGCCACAAAAACGAACATTTTAACTGAGCTTGTTTCTCCCATCTTGGACTGATGAGACAATGACACCCTAAGTGTTGCTAATGCGCAGACTGCCTGGTCTCGATGTGGCGAAGCAGTTTGAAGCTTCATTACCATGTCATGCAGAGTGGGCTTGTAATGTGGGAATCACTTACCGGTCCAGGATAAATCCATTCTTTAAATCCATTGAGGGCCTTTTCCCTTCACAAAGAAACTTTCCAAAGACATCTGATCTGTTTCTTTCTCATTTTGCTGCTTTGTGGCTCCATGTTGGAGGGCAAGCCCGAGAGAATCCGGTTAAAGGATTTTCAAAATACAATATCCTCCAGACTCTTTGATTCAGACTTGACTTGATAACAGATGCAAGACATCGGAAGTCTACAACTGGAGTTTGACAGCTCTATAACTAGACTATACTTCAATTTCCAAATCATTTCCCAGGCTGTTCGCCTCCACCCTCTCACCTAAATCCTAGTCTGTATAAAATCAGATGAGTTTTAAAAACAGCAGTGCAAACGGAAGTTGTTTTTTCCCCCCACAATAACATTACTTCAGGTTCAATATAAAGTTGAAATATTTTTGGAGTGGCGGCAGAAACCATGGTTTTTCTTTTGCACCAATGCCCCTTGAACGTCTCATAACGGAGTAACTGGGTCACGTGAGCTGCTCCTCTAAGAGTGCTGTGACGTGATCGAGCACCGTCAGTGTGGCGGTGTCTGACAGACAGCTTTCAACTGCCAGCAGCTGTCTTGGCTGGATGAGAGTTCCGGCAGGGGTCTGGGTCGGTCCAAGACGTATCAGAAGAATGCTTCTGCAGAGGAGAAGAAGCGGAGTGTCCAGTCAAAGCCCGGAGCTGAAGGTAGACGAGTTATTGCTTTTGTTCTCCCGCTAGGAGTCGGGGTACTTGTTTCAACTGTGACTGGACTCAGAGGAGGAGCTGATATTTCTATAATTCTGTTTTCATCCAACGCGTTTCACTGCGAATTCACTGCAACAGCAGCCGGGCTCAGCATCGTGGGGCAGCAGCCGCCGCATACCGGCAGCTCTGCATCTCCTTCCAGCGGGTTGGCTCCAGATGAAAGTCCGGGGATGCTTTTTCGTTTTTGAATGACAAGAACGTCTCTGTAGAGGAGGACAAACTTGGATAAGATCAAGGAAACAACTGGGAACTGCACGGTAGAGCAAGAAATGTGCATTTGAAAAAGAGTTATATAACGGACCCTGGGAAGAGAAGAGGGGTGAAAGGGAGACGCACCAGGAGGAGAACCCCCCCAAAATCCCCGCAGGTTACTTGAGGTTCTGCTGGCATGAGGAGCAGGAGGGTCGTTTCCACATCTAAGGTGCAATTAGCGAAAAGGGAGGCGGAGGACGGAGGGCACGACTGAAACCCCGGTCAGAAGAGGCGGTGATGGCGGCGGAGGGTACGGGGGTTCGGTTCACCCGTGCGCCGACCGCAGCCCTGTCAGCAGCCGCAGCATGAGGCGGTGGAGGTACGCGGCGTTGCACGTCCCATCGGTTCTCCACATCCTCATCATTCATTTAGCCATCCCCTCCTTCCACTCCACTCCATTACATCCACCTTTCCTCGGCTGCCTTGACTGGGATCCATGAACTCATCAATCAGTTTCTCCATTTAGTCCACCTTTGACTCGACATCATTTACCTCCCCTTTATCACTTTGTGGCTCCATAGATGTTACACTGACAGAGTAGCGCTTAGACCTTTGGATAAGTGGACCTTTGTTTAGTCAGAAGTAATTTATTTCCTGCTTTATTTTCTTATTGTGGATTTTTTTTATAGGAAAAAATAATATCTTTTTTTCTATAGAGGTCAGGCTGATTCGCATTTGTACACATTCCAGTTTTGGTCAGGCTGATTTGTGTTCATAATAGAGGTCAGGCTGATTTGTGTTCATTTGTACACATTCTAGTTTTGGAGCCCGCCCCATATCCCTGCCAAGAGGCAAAGCCATTGAGTTCTTATCGATCACATTGATTTAGGGAGCTTTATGTCCACTTCATTGTGCCAAGCTGCCTGATCTAGTTGGCACCCAAGTCTCTGCATTCTTTACGATGCTGGAAGTGGCTTAAAAAAATAAGAAACAGAAGCTAACCTCACCATCTGGGTATTCATTCTGCACCACCAGACTGTGACATGTTAATGGGGCTTAATATCCCAACCATTAGTGCTTGACCTTTCACTTTTGTGAAAACTTTTATGTAAAGAGTTTAAAATGTAATTCTGATACTTAAAGTGTTAGAATTATACATTTTGATTTAACTTTTTCCCTTTATCTTAATTGCTGTAAGTTTAACCTTTTTGTTCAAATGTAGTTTTATCTTCATAGAGGAAGTGGTTTTAGCCTGCACACCCACTCCTGGGTACAAGCTTACACACACACACATATACACCTAACTGCTGAACATCACTGAGGCTTATTGTTTTAGGTTGGCAGGTTAGGTTTTATGATGGGTTTTAGGGGAGGTGCAGTGTAGAGTATAGGAACTACAATTCGGTTCCTGGTCTGCAGCTTCTTTTTGCTCATCCTTAAGGTGAACTAAGCTGAAGCTCCAGCACTGGACGGTGACAGATTCTCTGTATTGTGACACTTTGCTTTGTAATTGATTGATAATTGCTTGCACTAATCTGTGAACTCACGCCAACATTTCTTGTTTATCTAGAGTCCTTGTCTATCTGTGATAAAGAACCCCATGATGCACTGCCTGGCATAAGGGTGTAATGAGTAAAGCAGAAAAAGTTGGAAGAGGTGAATATTGCTTCCCAAGCAGAAAGAATCTTATCACAACAGTGATTCTGCTTGTATACCAGATCTTTATTTCTCAGAGGTCCTCTATATTTTTGTGCCCGGCTTTAAAATGTTTCTCAATCTTCTTTTTGAAAAGTCAAATATTTAAATGTTTCTCACTGCATTAATTTTACACCTATACTGTACATAAAATACAGAATGTGGTGTTTTTTCTTGTAGACAAGAGACAACAGGGACTATATTTATGGGAGCTGACTAAATGTTATGCCTGTAACGTCATTATATCAATCTTTTTCCTGACATTTAAGAAACGAAACAAAACCCTCACAGAAAACAGAATACCCTCGCCCTCTGTTGGAAGGTTTGGCTCTGTATTAAACCAGAGCCGTGTCTCCACATGCGATAACACCACTGCTTTTGTTATTTGGGTCAACTGACCCTTTGTCACCTTATGGCAGTGTTCTATAATAAACAGACTCTTGTGGTCTGACCCACATCTGACCAATATCCACAGTTAAGGGGTTGTGTTCAATAGTTTGCAACACTTAAGGGACTGGAATCCTGTGAAATTGCAGTTCTTTGATCACTTAAACCAGATGTTTGGTTTGAATACCTGACAATCATAACGTTGAAAATGGAAGTTGATAATTTAAGCTCAACTAATCGTTTTATCCTCTAGCGTATTTGAGTTTTAACCTAACTCAAATATACAGAGAACTGTTGCTCCACATGACTGCACACATTAAAAAAATGTTTTCACAACAGAGACATGTTGTGAAAACATGTCTCTGGATGTTTTACCTGCATTGTAATTGTCCTTGACGCAGGTACAGATAGAGAATTATTTTATCCAAGCAGGATAAGATTAAATTGTGGTGCACAGGCTCCAGTTTTTGCAAAACGGATTTTAATGACAAGCCTTTCTTTGCGGTTGTAAAATCTGAGTTTCGATGTCAAAAAACTTGAATTATTTCTTCAATGCAATAGAGCTGGAGCAAGAAACTTGATTTTATGATATCTGCCAAAATGTTTTTTCATAGTAATGTATTTGGTATGGACTGCAGGAAGAATAGTCTCTGCTGCAGTAGAAACTAATTGGGATCTTTAAATAAACAAACTATCAACTTTGCCCAGACTTGCAGTCAGAAAGGCGCAGCATTTATAGAAGAGCAGGATTGTGCAAGATTGTATGCAGAAGAGTATATTCATGAGTGGGGTTATTTTCTGCAAATTTTGAGCTTAGGCAAGGCTTTTTAAAGTCTAAGCAAGTTGTGCTGAATGCGGCTCATTGTTGCAAAGTGGCCAGTATTTCTCCTCGAGTAGAGAATCTGGTTTTCTGCTGTGTGTGAGCTGTATGATCAGATCATGCAGTTTTCTTTCTGTAATTTATTTTTATGGATGCCATCCATTTCTTTATTTTACCGGACTAAGGTCAAAGGAAGCTACTGTTGACAACTGTAATAGCTTTTCAGAACAACCGTAATTTTAGCAGATTTTAAAACCCCTAAAACCTTAAACTGAGAATGTTTTTATATCTGTGGAAAACTCTATACTAGTAAATTATAAAATTTGGCTTCATTCAACCACTTCCATGTTGCCATGTTGCTGACTGGGTAGGATCGGGTTTGGACATGTTGTCTATGGGCCTGATCTAAACTCTGTGTTTGAAAAGTGATATTTGATGTTGAGGATTTTATTGTGAAGGTTTGAAGGAAGTTGTCTAAGTTTCTCTACAATATAGATTGAACCAATTTAGATTATGTTTTAGCTGTTCTGCTGAGTATAATCAGACCCTTTCCTTGCCATTTGTCATTGATGTTAAACAAAACAGACCATTTGAACCCTAAAAACATAAAGATTAAAGTTACTTTATTAGTGACATCCACTAGGCTTTAGGTTGTTTCCTTGTAGACGATGAAGATAAAAACATCTTCAAAAAGCCTTTATGCGTTTTGGAAATTACAAAATGACATTTATCTCGTGGTGCTCTTTGGTTGTTGAGAAATCCCTGCTTTACTCTCACAACCTTCAGCTTACATCTGCGCTGAATCATCTCAGTCATTGAGGTCGAAGAGGACCTGGTGAACCCAGAGATTTAAGTAGCTCACGTACCACTTAGCGGTTCAAAAGTAATTTTGTTTTATTTTTTAAAATGTATTAACTAAATATCAGTGCTAAAATAAAACTTGGTTTTATAAAACCAGTAACCAACACATATCTACTACATAAAATCCAGCTTCTGTGCTGAATGAAACTGAAACAAAGCAGGTCTAAGGAAGAGAAGAGAAATGCCATGATTGTGCTGGAGACATTCCCACTTTCTACCCAGTTTGTAAGTAGTGGTAAATAAATTTATGTGGCACCTCACAGAGGACTAAGATTTAAAATAAGAGGGAAAAAACAATTGAATAATAGATGATTAAAACTAAACATGAAATATTTAAGACCTCAAGGAAAAGTGTTTTCATAAGAATGTCTTCAGCTGCTTTTGTATACAATTAAAATATTGAAAGACAAGAGAAAATCAAAGGAACTTTACTTGATTGGTTTGAGGACTTAACACAATAATTTTAAAAAGAACAGCCATCTAGTAGAAAAGACAGTTTAAAAAGTAGAGTAAGCTCTTCTTTTTGTCCCAGTTCTGAGTCTTGCTGCAGTTTTAGGTCATGGACTTTTTTTGTTGATGAATGTAAAATGTAAAATTGGTCTTTTAACTAGAACTGGAAGAATGAATAGCCACATTCATTCTTCTTTAAACTTGTCCTCATAGTTTGTAAAAATGTCTCAAATGTTAGTTTATGAAGATGTAGCATATTTGAAAAGACAATCTAAATTGTTATTCAATATAAATGGCTTTTAACCAAGATAATAGGCCAGTTTCCTTTCAGAAGAAGGTACGACTCACGAAAGAGCAGTTAGGCTAGAGTTTGCAGCTGCGAGTGTTTTGTATTTGCAATGTGAATATCATATTTACATATTTCCAACCACAACATTGGGATATGCAAATGGCCATCAAGGAAAAAAAAACAAAACAATGAAATAAAAAGAAAACAGAGGAGAAAAGAAACACAACAAAGGGGAAAAAAAAAACAAATTAATCAATCGTTCCCAAAGTTCATCTTACAACCCCTTAGTCCATCCACCCCGAATGGGGATTAATCAGGCTCGCAAACAAGGGAAGTATCCAGGGCGTGGTTCACGTCCTGGGTAATTGAAAGTCCAATCAAAGAAGGAACAGAGTTCTTTGTAGGATTCTCCTACCAACTGGGTAGGAGAAGTAAGCAGTCTTCTGTCACCAACAGGTGAAATCTTTCTTTGGCTCTAGGCCTGGTCTCATAGCTCACCATCCACCTGGCCTGAATAACAAAACAGGACCACTTCCTCAATATATATTGATATGATAACATTTAGTGTATACACAATTCAATAAATAACATTTTATATTATAAATAATTCTATCATTTGATCAATTGCAATTTCATTAAATCTAAAATTCAATATAAATTACATTCATGAAACATTCAATAAATATACACCATATTATCAATTAACATGAAATGTAAAATACTGATATAAACCAGTGTTCAATAAATACTTCAATTACCCGTTTTGTTTATCAAAAGGAGTGTACAATCAGTTTTTCTTTAGTGGCTACACAACAGCAGTGATTATAAGCCAACGCTAAGTCATTCACAAAAACACTCACCAGTTTCCGCAGTTTTG